TTTTAAAACGCTGGTGTATACTATTTGAATCCCAGTAGAAATCAAGGAAATGAAAATTCCATTTGGATTGCCTATAATATTTTTTTTTTGGAAATACAAATCCTTTCTCTCTCTCTCTTAAATTTTTGAGATAGTTTATCTCTCTAAAAGTTTTTCTAAAATTTTAATACACTCTCTTTCAAAAGCTTAAAAATTAAAATAGTTTCTCTCTAAATTTTTTGAGAAAGTTTCTCTCTCTAAAATTTTTATACACTCTCTTTAGAATTTGAAATAGTTTCTTTCTCTAAAATTTGAGATATTTTCTCTCTCTAAAACTTAAAATTTGAGATAGTTTCTGTATAAAAATTTTAAGATAGTTTCTCTCTCTAAAATATGATATAGTTTATCTCTCTAAAATTTAAAGGTACTTTCTCCATCTAAAACTTAAAATTTGAGATAGTTTATTTCTAAAAATTTTTAAGATAGTTTCTCTTTCAAAAAAATTTTAGGTGCTTTCTCATTCTAAAATTTGATATAGTTACTCTCTCTAAAATTTTAAGATGTTTTCTCTCTCTAAAACTTAAATTTTACGATAGTTTATCTCTCTAAAATTATCAGGTAGTCTCTCTCTAAAATTTTAATATACTTTATCTCACTAAAAGTTAAAAATTTGATGTAGTTTCTCTATCTAAAATTTTTCAATTAGTTTCTCTTTTTAAAAATTTTCTTTATCTAAAATTTGATATAGTTTCTCTCTCTAAAGTTTTAAGATATTTTCTCACGGTAAAACTTAAAATTTTATATAGTTTCTCTCTCTAATTATTTTTTAAGTAGTTTATCTCTCAAAATTTTTAATGTAATTCCTCTCTCTAAAACTTAAAATTTGAGATAGTTTCTCTAACTAAATATTTTTAAAATAGTTTATCTCTCTAAATATTTCAAATACTTTCTCTATCTAAAATTTGATATAGTTTCTCTCTCTAAAACTTAAAATTTGATAATTTCTTTCTCTAAATATTTTCTGGCAATTTCTCTATTTAAAATTTGATATAATTTCTAATCTTTAAAAATTTAATATGCTCTCTCTCTCTCTCTAAAACTTAAAATTTGAGATAATTTTTTTTCAAAAAAATTTGTATATTTTCTCTCTCTAAAAAATTTCATATTCTTTCTCTCTTTAAAATTTGACATATTGTAAAATTTTAATATGTTTTTTCTCTTTAAAACTTGATATAGTTTCTCTCTAAAATTTAAATATTTTTTTTTGCTCTTGAGCAACAAAATAGATCATTTCCATGAAATGTCAATTCCACGTATTTTGATGGAATTGAGATTTCCAAATTTTAGGCTTAAAATGAGTATTCAGGAATCCCATGAAAATCTCAATTCCAATGGAAATGTCCATTATATACTAACCAAACACAATTGGCCCAACTTTTCTATGAAAGTGACTCCTAGAAATCTGAATCCAATAAGCTAAACAGGCCCTAACATAATAGTAAAAAAAAAATGGTTTGATAGGGCTGCAAATTGTATTTCAAGCTTTAGAAAAATCTTTACATTGATCATATGGGGTTCAACATTATCGCTGTAAAGAAAAATTAGAATTTCAAATTTTAAAAATAATATATATTAAATTAAAAATATCATATATTATAACAAATTATATAGAGTGTCCATTTCACTCTAAAAATAAGTATTCTTAGTTCGCAATATCAATATATTTTTTGAGTTTTGTCCGTATTAAAAATTGATTTTAGGGTTACTGAAAGTGCTTTCCATATAACGATTTAAGATAGGTTTTATTTTGTTTTCATAAAGTTAGAACCTTCATCCATAATGAATTGGAGAAAACGTTTATTTCCCCTTGTTTACAGTTCCAAAATTGATTGACTTTCTCCTAATTTGTCTGTTATCAGGTATAGGCATGTCGCCATCGAACCCTCAATTTTTGAAGTCCCTTGTTTTCCTCGCCCTCCTCTCTCTCTCTCTCTCTCTCTCCAATACACTGGCACCCATAATAAGTAAAGGACATGCTCCATCCACTTCTCAGTTTTGAAGTTCACCATTAATCTCTCTCTCTCTCTCAGTTTTATAGTTCTCTCTATCTCGTACTGACGCCCAAATGTATCTCAGTCCTTCTCTAAGAGTTATGCGTTCTGCAACTCTCCAACCACTATGTCGATTTGCTTGCCTTCCTCCTTCGAAATTTATCCTCAATAACAAGGTTTGGATCGCTTTTATAGCGTTGACAAACTCAGGAATTGAGTGTTTTGTTGTTTCGTTTATTTTTTAGAAGCGTCATCATCGAATACTTTCTCTCTGTTTTTTTTCTCACTATCACGGAGTGATACGTTTGTTCTGATCATGTAGCAATCAATATCGAAACGCCTGTCCTTTCTTGGATATGAGAGACAAAGACATCGATGCGTTGTGGGGCATAAATGGATCCAAGTCTCAGCCATGGGAGAGGTTAGGTATTCCAACTCTCATTCTCAGTTTCAGTTTCAGAAATCCTTGCCTTTGCTTTTGTCCCTCTGTGGTTCTTATTGTGATTTTATGGCTCTCATTAAATGTGAAGTTATAGGAAATTCTTGTGATTTGTGGTTTCTAGCCTTCTGCTTGTTAGTAGCTGCAATCACAACGAATTTCAATTCCCTTGTCTCCAACTGTTATCAATGATGGGGGGCTAGTCAATAGGATTTCTTGTCTCAACTCGTGATTTTTCCTTTTGTATGTAGATTGAATTCCTGCACTGACACAAAAAGCAAATAAGATAAAGTTCTTATGTATTATTTCATGGCGTTTAAAGATTTTATTCTTGTTATTAGGATTCATTTGAAATGGATTGTTTTGATAATTGGGATGATAATGAGGGAACTTCCTTGGGAAATTCCTATTTGTGGTCTTCGAGTGAAGGAGAGGAAGAGAGTGATACAGAATTGCTTATAAATCCATCGGGGGATGTGGATTTGCCTCGCAAGAGAGTTAGGTGGTTAGGGCCTGATTCAGCTTTGACCACAACTGCCCACCGGGTTGCGACTCTCCAAAGTGGAGGAGGAAAGAACAGGTGACGCTTTTTTTTTCTCCCAGGATTGAAGTCTTTTTGTGTTTATGATATTGTTGAGTCCTTTATTTGCCATCCTTTGTATGCCATGATGCTTAAGCTCATTTTTTAGTTGTTTTAGCTTTCTAATTATTTTTTTTTTTCTTTGATATCTCTCCTTCACTCACCATTGTAAGCAAAATTATACATGTTTCCCGAAGTACAGAAAAGGAATAGAAAGTATAGGGGTTATTTAAGTTCACAAGGTATGCTATTCTTTTGATGTCGGCCTCCAATGGCTAAGGGAATTTCTTACTTGGAAAGAAGTTATGGGGTGTGGGTAATAGTTTAGCTCTTTCAAAGATGACTTGTTGGGATAACAGATGCCACGTTTTGTTGGGTAAATGGTAGTGGAGGGGAACAATGATACTATTTTTGTTTCCTTCCTCTTGTCACAAGGTATGCTATTGTTTTGATATCGGCCTCCAATGCATACGGAGATTTCTTTCTTGGAAAGAACTTAAGGGGTGTGGATAATGGTTTGGCTCTTTCAAAGATGACTTGTTGGGATAACAGATGCCATGTTTTTGGGTAAGTGATAGTGGAGGGGAACAATGATACTATTTTTCTTTCCTTCCTCTTCTATGTAGATTTTGCTATTTTGCTTTTTTTTTTTTGTCATCAAAGATGTGGAAATGATTTATCGGTTAAAGTGAATAGGAATCAACAAAGGGAAAAATGGAGGCGGACCAGGTGGTGGGAAGATGATAGATAAGAGGAGGTGAGGAAGCAGAGCAAAACACTTTGCAAGCATGGTACAAAGATTACCAGTGATAGCCATGTTTTCGCATGGCAATGGGTGTCTTATTGAGACTCGAATTTGAATCCGCTAAGATGTACAGAGCAATTTGAAATTTGCACTCATTTTGCGTTAATTTATAATGCCACATAAAAACACTGGGTTGGATTTGAGACTGATCCACCAGATGGCGCTAAAAATACTCAATAATCTCAATTTATAATGCCACATAAAAACACTGGGTTGGATTTGAGACTGATCCACCAGATGGCGCTAAAAATACTCAATAATCTCTTAGCGTACTTTTTGGTTTACAGTCTGTGCCTGAAATAAATAGTTTGGTGTGACTGCAGGAGGTTGGGAATGGAAGCGGAGCAGTAGGTAATCATCCTTTATCGTGTTGGTGCCAATTTCAGGGATGGTATCATGGGATGGGGATAAATTTTTTTACAGGTTTATTTACACTATTTATTACTCACTGTAATTTTAACATCTTAGTTTTGGAAGGTAGTTATCTCTTCCCATAATTAAATCAAATATGGTATACTGATTCTTCAATATTGGTAAAATGAATATCCTTTTTGCATTTTGCAAGCAGCTATAGTGGTGCTTGCCAGACCTGTAAACAAAAAAACTTTTTCTGAACAATTTTATTCCTCATGCCGACATGCCCACTCTTCTTACATACTTTTGTACGTCAATACACATAATACAGAACATGACCGAATCAGTAAACACACCTAGACCTTGCTGCTGTCATGTTCATATGGTGCCTACAAAATGAAAACATAACAAAACAAAAACACAAGAAACATACTGTGAGAGTTGCCTGTGATTAGCTCTTGGGACTTGGTACACCCTTCACTGGATCGCCTACCATCAATGGTGCACTGACTCGGGCAGAAGTCATCTCAAACTCCAATTTGGGAACCTCTAAAATCTGAAGACCTTGCTGTTCATGATTCTTAGGGTTTCTTTTCCTCTTTGGGGTTTTTCTTAATGATTTTTGTAACCCTTTGAAGGATTTCATCTTTTATTCTCCCGAGCATCCCTAGGGAACTCTTGATCTTCATGGAGCAGCCCATGAAGATCATCTCTTGTTGATCTTTAGCTTATAGAGGATGTCTTCCTTTATCGTACATGCACAACAGGCTGTAGAGAAACTTTTTTATTCTTGTGTACTTTGAGTGGCCTGTAGAGAATGCCATTCTGTACCTTGAATTTGTAGCAAGATTAGAGAATCTTTTCTCACCTTTCCCATGTGGATGGCCCTCTGAGAAGCGGTCTTTATATGGAGGTCATCTCTCAGTTGTGGACCTTGTGAAACGAAAGCCCTCCTTATTTGTCACATGAAGGTCCATACATATTTATCTTGTTCTTCTTTGTTCCATGATGATATTCTTGACTGTTCTCCCTCATCTTCTTTGCTGGTCTCACCTGTAACTGAAAGCATTCTTTTCTTGCCCACGTACTTGCCTTGGAGCAGGAACTAACTTGCCTGCCCAGAAAAAACTTTTACCTCTAACATGCAACCCCAAAGGGAACTGTGTAACACCCTTCACGTGCCAAGCCGGAGTATTCCTTTCTCCATCACGTGCTGCTCCTGTCCAGCCATGGAAATCAACTTGATTTTCATCACTAGCCTACCTTGAAAGAGCCTTTGCCCTCCTGCTAGCATGCCTGCCCTAGAGGCTATCATTTTTTATCATGTGCAGTGCAGGGCATGGTTTCTCCTTGTCTTCTCTTCAATGCACTCCTTCATCTTTTTCTCTTGGCGTGAAAACCTTAGATGAAACCATAGTTCTTGGGATCGGGATTGGGAGCGGGAGCGAGGGATCATGAAATGCTAGAAGATCCCTATGGTAGGGGACGCCATCCATAAAATGCACATGTTAAAAATTGAGACTCCTATGAGTACATATGATAATCCCTAATAACAGGAATCAGGATCCCTATGAGTGGAGTTTGAGATCCCAAAATTTAAAAATTGAGATCCCTGAGAGATCCGTTCTGGGAGCGACAGAATCGAGATCCTAGAAGGGATCGCCTACCAAAGTAGGAGATCTCGGTAACCTTAGCAGAGGCCCTCTTGAAGCTCATTGCCCTGCCTTTTAAATCTCTCTCCCATGTGAAAGTAAATTTCAGGTGAGATTCACATCTTGCCCATAGGTGGGAGAGTTGGGCTCAAGGTTAATTTAGAGGATGAGGTTAGGGTCTAGAAAGGAGTTGACTTTGCCTACTCCAATTAGGAGATATGAGAGTTAAGAGCCGCGTTTAATGCTTGCCCTTTATTCCTCAAATCAGCCATCATGATTCTGACAATGATATCACTTATTAATTGCTTTATCCCACACTTGTCCATAATTCAAATGGATGTCCCTCTTAATGATATAGGTTTCTAAGATTCTATTGAAGCTCAAGATTTCTTGAATCTTTTAAATTCTTTTACTTAGAGTCCTCCTCTGAGTGGTAGTCAACTTTTCTTGAAATCTTGGAATATGAATCTTAGATTTTTTCCTTGATTTCTTTCCATGCTCCACTTCAACTAACTTTACGATTTTGTAATACCGCGTTGGCCATTGGGTCCCATGCAGTCCTACTAGTTGATGACATGGCCTCACGTGGTCCTAAGTTTTGCTCATGTGTCCCACGCGTTGGAATTCAAGAAAATCTAATCTGAGGCATGGAGAACACAACAAATCATGAAATTTTAATACAATTGTTTTCAGCATAAAAACACAATTCTACATATTTCCTTCATTATATTAAGAGTACAAAATCACATAATATTCACCTAATTATTTACAAAGAAAATTTCTTTTATTTTTTTAAAAAATAACAATAATGCTTTTAAAATAAAAGAAAATAGAAACTAGAAACATTGAAGGAGTGCCCATACCGTGGGATAACTCATCAACTTATAATTAGGTACTCGATTTTTGCTAACATCTGTAATCACAGTCAATCCTCTCAAACCATCCCAACTGTATCCATGATCCACAATCTCTCTCGCAGGGGCTCATGATCGGCTTTTCAAAGTTAGCTACTAAGTAGATGGACTACAAGGTTGCCATGAACTCTAGGTGCACCCAAGGGCAAGCCATGTCACCCTTAGGCATATGCACAAATCCCTTTGGTGCGGGCTCCCTCTTTGCATATACATGTGCAGGGCACTCAGGTCCACGTACCAAAAATTCGGCTATCATGCATGCATGTCGTTGGGTGGTAATGTTGAGGAGTTTCCCTTAGCCCTTATATGCCCCCAACCTCACGCTAGAGTATCCTTTCCCTTGGCTAAACTCTTGACCATGGGGCTAACTCCGTTCTCAACAAGGGATGACCCGCTAACCCTCAAGGGTAACGTAGTACATGTCTTCTTTCCTCTTTGGACCTAGTGTTTTGGATTTTCGACTCAATGAGTCATAGGCTTAGGCCACCAAGCTCAGCATGAATCCAATGGAACTCATGCCATCTAGCTCCTATGGCCTTTTTCATTTGTAGAGCATCTTTCTTCCACATGCACCACTTCGCTCGCACCAACAAAATTGTGGTGTTTCTCTTTTATCACACTAATTACATTGGTATCCACATGGGGTACTACAAGAGCCAAGGCCTTTAATGGTGTAAGTTCTTTGTTCCTTAAGTTGCTTCGACACATTTTTGTGCTTGGAAAGTTATGATATCAGTTTTTTTTGCAGTGGTCTTTTGCTAGATATCATTTATTTCTGGTGGGCTTTAGGACAACAATCTAAACCTTTGACGCTAGATTTGCGATTGGAAGCAGGAGCCAAGCATTAAAGGTTATAGAGGCATTGGTTTCCTAACAATGATAGCCTAAGATGCTGCATCTTTGGAGCAGGAAACTGAACAGTGTAGGGAAACTGGCTTCTAAGGTCTAGACCAGTGCTTAAAAACCATGACTTGGGTCAAGGGCTGGCTGGGTTCCCGAGCCTGAGTAAGGTGTGAAAAGACAACCGAGTTTTGTCAAAGAGCCGGCCTGGTACAAATAAAAAAAAGGAACAAAAAAAAAAATACGAACCAGCTAGGCTTGAGCAGTTCCATGTGTTTGGTTCTGGACTCCGCAGCCTGCTGAATCTGAGTAACTTGTGCGCCAAGCTTTCCATCACTAGTCTAGACTCTAAGCTTCTTATTTTCAATATATTTTGATGTTAGCCTCATTAATTATGCGCAAGTTATTTTGCTCGAGTGTTTGATATGCTTATCTATAGTTTTGCATTGTTAATTCTTGTTGGAAGTAGTGTGAGTTATTTGTTCCATGACAAGTAATGTTATCAGTGTTGTAATTTGATACAGATTTTTCTATGTTAACAATTGACTTGTTTTATCTGTGCTGCAGGTGTGGCACTGGGGTTTTGATTAATATAGGATTGTTAGTCTCTTTGCTATTGTTTCTGTTAGTAGTGGACTCATGTGCATGGCGGATCATTCGGATACCATTGGAACCATTTCTTTTAACATATCCATTCTGTATATCAGCGGTTTTGGCAACATGTCTAGGTTTTGTATGTGTTCCATTACTTAGAAGTTTCAAGATTCATCAAATATTACGGAAAGAAGGGCAGGCTATGCACTTCATTAAGAAGGGAACTCCTACAGTTGGTGGATTGTTTTTTATTTCAGTTGGGGTCATAGTTACCAGAACTGTTGCTGGTTTCTCTTCAGTTGAAGTTTTTGGGGCAACAACTGCAACTCTTGCCTTTGCCGCAATTGGTTTACTTGATGACCTCTTAATCCATTGTAAGGGTCAAAATTATAGGCTACGTGCAGGGTTGAAGCTTGTCTTACAGGCAAGATCTTTCTTTTATTGTTTGAACATCCCCCTTTGTCTCTTTTTTCATTTTGCTTCTTGGATTCATCTTATATTTTGAACTGACATTGGTATTTGTATGTTAACAGGTTGCTGTTGGCGCCGGATTTTCCTTTTGGTTCGATTCCACAAATATATTGTCACCCTACGGCATGTATACTCTCTCTTAACAAATCTGATCTTGCATAACTCGCCTTATGCTTGTGCTTCATTAAAACATAATGTAAGTGCTTGTGGCAATAATATGAGAACTGTATATGAACTGATTGCATGGTTAATCATCCATATGTATAGATTTCTCCAGAAAGCATCTTAGTTATGATTTGTGTTTCCAAAAATTGAGCACAATGGGCTTTCGTTAAAAAGGGCCAATATGCCATGTTTCATGGTATCTCATGTTAACCAGGATTGGAGAAACTGACGTCCTGAATAGTGGAGTCAAAATCACTTGAATTTCTCTAGTCTATACTAATGTAGCCAAAAAAGAGAAAGAAAAACAAAGAAATGTTTGGTAATATATGCATCAAGATTTTGATGGTGGGTGGATTCTACTTGACAGCTGCTACTCTGCTCTTCTTCTCTTGAATTATCAAATGGAGAGCTCAAGGGTCTTGTATTGTTGGTTAGACATGGTGGGAGTCGAGAGATGATAACTTATTTGGGTCTATAACTTAAAGCATTAGTATGTTGAGCTAGCTAGACTGAGGGTACTGGTGGATGTAATAGTGGATGCAAATATATTTACGTTGATTAGGTGTGAAAGGAGGTGGGTCTGACTATACATTATGTCTAAAAATACATAGGAGGCTCTGTAATCAAGGAAGTTACACTCATCTCCTTGGTTGGATTTGATGAAGCTAAAGTCTATGCCATAGTCACCTGGATCTCCCAATCAAGTAGTTGATCCCTATTTGGAAGCTTGCATGCTTTAGGGAGGGGTCTCGCTCCCTTGTGATTTTTAAACTTTGGGATCTCAATCCTTCCTATGAAGAATTGAGATCTTGAGTTACACAGGAGTTGAAATTAAAGAAAAGAGAACACTTAGATGGGTTCTAGAGAGAGAAAAGAGGAAAGAAAATAAAGAAGAAGGAGGAGAGAGGTGTGTGAGAGATAGAGAGAGAAAGAGAGAAAAAGAGAAAAGGAGAAAAGGAGTGGCAAGTTAGTCTCTTGTGACCTCCACCCCTCTTGTTTATATTTCACAATATAGAGTCATGAGACTCTTAACTCTAACCCCCAAATAAAAAAGAACACTCCTGATCCACATTACTTCACATTTACCATGAGCCATTACCGTGTATTCTACTTCAGTGCTTGATCTTGCCACCACATTTTGTTTCTTGCTTTTCCAAGCAATCAGGTTTCCCAAAATGAAGGTACAATAGGCGGTTGTGGATCGTCTATCAGTTTGGTAAACAGTCCAATCATCATCAGTGTAAACTGCAATATCAGGATGTCCTTGATTAGAGAAACATATCCCTTTCCTTGGTGCATATTTGAGACATCTTAATATCCCTTTCAAGATGCAGTTTACATGGTGCATGTATAAATTAGCTGACCATGCGAACCGTATAAGAGATGACTGGTCGAGTGATAGTGAGGTCTATAAGCTTGCCCATTATTCATTATTTCTGATTAGGATATTTGAGTAACCCTCCCCTTTCTTCATGAAGTTTATGATTGCCTTCTATAGGAGTATCTGCAGGTCCAGATACCAGGATCGCTGTTTGTTGTAACAAGTCCAACACATATTTTCTCTGGGAGATGACTATCCCTTTCTTTGATCTTGCCACCTCAATTCTCAAAAAATACTTAAGGGGTCCTAAATCTTTAATATTGAACACTTTGCTTAAATAAGATTTAAGATCCTCAATGCCCTTCACATTACCCCCTGTCACAACAATATCATCAACATACACTATCAAGGCAATAATTCCGAAAATATTCTTTTTCCCAAATAGTGTATGATCAACTTGACTCCTTTTGAACCCAAATTTCAGTAGTGCCTCACTGAAATTTTTAAACCATGCTCTACGATATTGTTTAAGACCATATATCACCTACTTGAACTTGCACCCCTTTCCTGTCTCCCTCTCAATTTGAAAACCAGGTGGCATGTCCATATAGATTTCTTCTTGGATGACTATATGCAAGAATGCCTTCTTAACATCTAGTTGATGGAGTGGCCAGGATTTTTTAGTAGCTGGTGAAAGAATGATCCTCACAATGTTCAACTTGGCCACAGGAGCCCAAATTTCTTGGTAATCTATACCGGGAGTCTGAGTGAACTTTTTTGCAACCAATCTTACTTTATACCTTTCAATGGTGCTATCAACTTTGTATTTTATAGTGAATATCCATCGACATTCTAGGACCTTCTTCCCTTTAGGAATGTTGGTGCTTTCTCATGTATTATTTTGCTCAAGTGCTTGCATTTCGTTACCCATGACAGCCTTCCATTGAGGTTTTGAAAGTGCTTATGCAACACAGGAAGGTATCTTAATAGAATACAGAGCAGATATGAAGGCACAATGAGAGGAAGACATAGAATTGCAGGATATGAAATTTCCTATTGGATGCTAAGTGCAAGAACATATTCCCTTGCGAATAGCAATAGGCAAGTTCAAATTAGGATTCTCTGAGAAGATGAAAGAGTTACCTGAGTCAGGAACATTTCCTGGTTCCGGGTTAACATTCGGGGTATAGTCGCTTAGAACTTCGGGTTGTACCATTTTCTTCCTCTTGGTATATGTCTTCAACTCTTTCTCTGGATGCGCACCATTCCCTTCAAATAAGCCATTCTCTTCAGATAAAAGTTATATGGGAATAAGAAGGGGAACAACTGATGTGCTGTCTTCACTAAACTATATCTTATTCTCCCATGAAGAGAGCACTGATGACCTGTAGAAGAAAAGTATGGAACTAATTCCAAGAAAGTAACATCCATGGAGACAAAACAGACCTTGGTAATAGGATCATAACACTTGTATCCCTTTTGATGAGATGGATATCCCAAAAAGATACATTTGATGGCTTTAGCATCAAGTTTGTCCCTCTTTGGACTAAGGATGTGGACAAAATATACACAACCAAACACCTTGGGAGGTATAGGAAATATGGGTGTGTTAGGATTAACAATTTCAGCGTGAGATTTTCTCTCAAGAACACAATAGGGCATGCGATTTATTAAAAGGCAGCAGTGAGAACTACTTCAGACCAGAGGTATTGATCAAATTTGCTGATGTTCTTATGAATAAACACTTATGATATGAGAACTCATGCCTTATGGAGTATGTTATTGCATTTTCAAATTGATTTATTCTACAGTGGAAAATGCTAGTCACAATATGGGTTTGAACGAAGCTGATTCATTCATTAGTAAAGCGGAAGTCAATGGAGGTGCCATGATGAAAAAGGTCAAACCTCAAGCTAGGGGACGCAGGTATCCGATAAACCCACTTGTCATATAACTATTTTTTTTTTGAATGAGGTTAAAGGAAATAAAAAAAATCCCCTTGTACTTTGAATTTGACAAATCAAATCTTACAAAAAGAAGTCTTACCTTAACTGAATACTGAAATAAAGAAAATGAAATAAAATTCAAATAATATTTATAAAAATAAATAATAGAAATTTATATAGAAAGATATGGGACATAAAATAAATCCACTTGGTTTCAGATATGAGATGAGTCTCAACTGCCATAGATAACTTAGGCAAAGATCGAGAAGAGGCGTGCTAGTAACAATCTCTTGATAGTCCCTACTGGCACACATGCTTGTTACGCTAACGCTAAGCTCTAGTCATGATCTCGTACTATGTTTTAGTAACGATCTCGTCATTGCTAGTTCCTTTGGTACGGTGTCAAAACTACGGCTTGTTAATTTGGCACAACCCAAAGTCATATTTCCTTTGGTTTGCACAATCAAAGGATTATTCGAGGAATCTATAAGAAGATGAAAAAATATGGGATTGTATCAAGAATTATGTCCAAAAACACATGAGAATATCCTCAGGGTTCAAAGAAATTGCACATATAGGGATTCGAAAAAGAATTGATCTCATCCAGGTCACAATCTATATTTGGTCCTCCAATTTGTTAATTGAGGGTCCAACCTGAGGAATCAAAGGATTACGAATAGATGTACAAAAATATTTAAATTCTATAAATCAGAAACTCAAAATTGCTATCACAAGAATTGCAAGACCTTATGGACAACTTAATATTCTTGCAGAATATATTGCTCTACAATTAAAAAATAGAGTTTCATTTGGAAAAGCAATGAAGAGAGCTATTGAATTAGCTGAACAAGCAAATACAAAAGGGATTCGGGTACAAATTGCAAGGCTTCTGAATGGAAAAGAGATTGCCCGTGTTGAATGGATAAGAGAAGATAGGGTTTCCCTACAAACTATTTGAGATAAAATTGATTATTGTTCTTATATGGTTCGAACTATCTATGCGGTATAAGGGATCAAAATTTGGATATTTGTAGATGAAGAATAAAGGGTCCTTTCTATTTCGTGGATAGGGACAAAAACGAAAAACTGTTTCACTCTTTTGCCTTCATTCAAAAGGAATTCAATTCTATATGGTTGAATAAAGATTCGATTGACCAATTGGTAAAATTGCAATTATTAGTGTGTGACTCATTGAGATCCGGTGACTATAATAAAATTATGGATTATGGAAGGACCAACTCCTAGTATGAACTAATAACTCATTGCTTTTTATTCTCAAGATCGAAGGAAGCATTCATTCACTATATGCTTATCTATTTTATAGTTGCAGCAACATAAATCCTTTTATGTACAAATAAATCATTATTGATGGTGCATTGTGAAACAAAAATAGAGGGATATGGATAATGGAAGGATGAGAGAAAGAGAAGAAGTACGACATATTATTCCAATATGTTTGGTCTATGAATCATCTCACATTAAGAAATGCAGTGTGACAAAGCATCAATACCAATTGGTCGATAAAAATATTAAAAATTTAAATACAATAATCAGATTAATTTGGTTCATAGGAGAAATAATAAAGAACATTCAGTTGATAGAGATTGAGAAGATTGACTTGGGAACAAATTGAATGCTCCATTGTAGAGGTAAGGCCTAGATATTAAAGGAGAAGCTATGGGAATGACAAAACTA